GTCCATCTAGTCAAGGCTATGGTTTTTCCAGTGGTCATGTATGAATGTGAGAGTTGGACTGTGAAGAAAGCTGAGCGCTGAAAAATTGATGCTTTTGAACTGTGGTATTGGAGAAGACTCTTGAGAGTCCCTTGGACTGCAAGGAGATCCAACCAATCCATCCTAAAGGAGATCAGTCCTGGGTGTTCATTGGAAGGATTGATGCTGAAGCTGAAACTCCAATACTTTGGCCACCTCATGAGAAGAGTTGACTCGTTGTTAAAGACCCTGACGCTGGGAGGGATTGGAGGCAGGAGGAGAAAGGGACGACAGAGGATGAGATGGCTGGATGGCATCACCGACTCAATGGACATGAGTTTGAGTGAACCCCGGGAGTTGGTGATGGACAGGGAGGCCTGGTGTGCTATGATTCATGGGGTTGCAAAGAGTTGGACATGACTGAGCAACTGAACTGAACTGTGAGAGCAAACGCATAACGTGGATAATGTGTAACAAGAGTCAGAAAAAAAATATATATTCTTTGCCCCAATAATTCCACTTTGGGGAATCTTGCCAAAAGAAATAATCCTAAACTTGGAAAAGTTATCCACATAAAGATGTTTGTTACAGTTATTTAGAAGGGAGGAGAATGGAAATAGCCTAAATGCTCAACAAATAAAGTGATAAACTAAGGTATGTTCATTTGATGAGATATTAAATAGCCAATTTTAAAGTACAAAGTCAACTTTTAGCTGCCATCTCCAACTAAAGGGAGTAAGACTCCTTTAAAGAAATTGATTACAAGTACAAGGACCGCAGACTGGTAAGTACAAGTTGTGTCTGGAATATCTTACGTGAGAAAGCAAGTAAGTGTTTAAAGACTGGCAAGACCAAGTCAACAGAATCCAGAAGCCTCTTGAAAGGGCTCCTACTGGCCCAATTTAGGACAGTTTTGAGCATTAAAAAAAAATGATGGTAATAGATTATACCATATTAATTTTTTTTTTTTTACTAATTTTTGAGACCACAGGGATTGGGTGGAGGGGTGGGGGGGAAGAGAAACTCTCTCTTTACAGAAGAATGCCAGATAACAAATGCAGAATGACAGAATTAGAGTCACCTTTTGCAATCCCCAGTGTAATAACAAAAGCAAGCATAGATCATCAATGGAAGCTAAGACCACTGGGTAAAACATGTTATGTTGGGAGCTAATAGTCTTAGGTTATCACAGCACAACTTACTCTAAACTGTGAAATGGAGAAGTCTGATGGACTCCAGCTTAACCAAGTGATCAAGTCTAGCATCACCAGTAAAGGACAATGAGCACTATTGACTGATCTGCCAGTGTAACACACTGGAAAGTTCACATCATCTCAAATATAGTGGTCTTTTTTAAAAAAAAATGTCAAGCCTGAATCTAATCACTAGATTATGGAAATCTATGGAAAAATCCAAAATGTGCAACATTCTACATGACAACTGCCCTGGACATTTCAAAATGAGCAATGTCATGAAAAACAAACTAGCAAGAAAAAAAATGGGAAATATTTCAATATTTTAAAGAGAGTAAAGAAACAAACAGTGCAACAGGGGAACCTTGGTAAATCCTGAATCAGGAAGGAAAAAAATCCCAAATATATATATATATGTATGTATGTGCACAGTTGCTCAATCATGTGTGGCTCTTTGTGATCCTATAGACTATAGCCTGCCAGGCTCCTCTGTCCATGGGATTCTCCAGGCAAGAGTACTGGAGCGCTTGCCCTATCCTCCTCCAGAAGATCTTCCTGACCCAGGGATCAAACCCACATCTCTTGCATCTCCTGCAATGACAGGCTGATTCTTTACCACTGAGCCACCTGGGCAGCCCAAGTAAATGACATGGGGTGGGGTGGGGGAATGGAAAAAAAACCAATATGGACTGTATAATAGACAATGCTATTAATGATAATGGTTTGTGGCCCTATAGAAGAATTCCTTATTCTTAGGGAGTGGCTGCTAAAGTATTTAGAGCTGAAGCATCAAGACAACTGAAACTTGCATCAAATCATTAAGGGGGAAAAAAGGCTGAAGGGATAGAACAAATGTGGCAAAATGTTAAAAAGTAGTGAATCTAGGTGAAGGGTATACAGATTTCCCCTGTACTTTCTTTGAATTCTTCTGTAAGTTTGAAATTAAAAAAAAAAAAAGCTGGAAGAAAATGAAGCTTTCATAATAAAAATGGGGAAATTATGCAATGTTCAGTGAAAAAAATAAGGATACAAAATTGTATATACCACAATTATAGCTATACAAAAATAACAACAAGAGAAATGATCTTTATTCATTTCAACATTTGTTAAGCTCTTGCCACACGACAGGCTTTGCACTAAGTGATGGGAACACCCAGATCCCCTTCAGAACCCCGAATCTATGGTGCAATGCTTAACATGCTTAAGTACAAGACTTTGGATCTGGCAAACTCCACCCAAGTCTTGAGGGCCTCACCTCTGTATCCTTGGTTCCTAGCAAGCTACCTGGCCCCATGAGGTGCTCAACAATGCCTGGTTCTGAAAGTGCATTAACAGAAGTTTAAGACAAAAGTAAGTTCACAGTGTACATAGAGTATTAGAGCTTTCTAATTATCATTTAAACTATCCTTGTGATATCCTCCCCCATCCTCATGTGACTGTACTTCCTAATCTTCCTCACTATGAGTTCACCCCTTCTTAATGGTATGCTGGTTCACTCAATGCATGCTGATCTCTTGGCTTGGAATGCCATTTACTCCTTTGCTTCATCTGTCCACACACTACTCAGCTCAGGTCTACCCCCTGCGTGAAGCCTGACAACTTTTGTGCAGACTTGATTTGATTCCATTCCTCTGAGTTGTCAGCAGCTTAGCTCTGTATTTCTTAAAAATAGGTGGCTTCATTTGACACCTACCATTCTAATCACTTAATAGTTTTCAAAGCCTGTTCCATCATTTCCATCATTCCATGTCCATGATTTCCCCTAATCCTCACACGACAGTCATCATGCCCTTTGCAGATATAAGGAAGGTAAGATCAGTGGCAAGAGGAGGGTCTTGCCGTTGATCCTGAGATGTGTCTAGAGCCCACAAGTACTGTTAAACACCTGGTGATTGAGGACCCTCCAATATGAATCTACTGGATCATTCTTCTAGAATTTATTATCTTTATAATAAATAAAGATATCTATTTATATCTTTGCTTTGTTAGTCAATTTTAAACAAATATCTATTTATTTATTAGGTTGCACTGAGTCTTAGTTGCAAAATCTTCAATCTTCATTGTGGCATGCAGGATCTTTCAGCTGCAGCATGTGGAATCTTTAATTGTTCCATGTGGAACTTTTACTTGTGGCATGCGGAATCTAGTTCCCCGACCAGGGATGGAACCCAGATCCCCTGCTTTGGGAGCACAGAGTCTTAGCCCCTGGACCACCTGCGAAGTCCATTAGTCATATTTGAAGCTGCATATTTTTATAATGTGCATGATATTTTCTCTATTATACCTCATAAAACCAGACACAATATCAGACATTTCAATACCTCCTATAGCCCTGCCCCTCAAAGTGTGGTGGGAGGACCAGCTGCATTTGTATCACTTGGAAGCCTGTTAGAATTCCACTGAAATTCCATCCCAACTAGACCTACAGAAACTTCAGTTTAAAACAAATTCCCCCCCCAAAATAAAAAATAAATAAAACAAATTCCCCAGGAGATTTGTGTTCATTTTATAGTTTGAGAAGCACCATCCTGTAACACCAACTAGAATATGCACAAAGCAGAAACTCAACAAATATTTTGAGACCTGGGGCCCTGGGAATCCTAGGAGATTCTCAGTTTTACCATCACATCTTACTCTACTCCAGTTTTGAGCCTCCTTCCCCTTGAGGCCTCAGGTGGCTCTTTGCTCCCTCACAAAGCAGATAGGAGCCTAAGAGTGAGGGAGACGTTGAGGTGGTGTCAGAGGGATGGATGCTGATGAAGTGAAGCGGCTGTCTTTCCAACAGTCAAAAGCAAGTGTTGGAGTCGGGCCTCGGGGCTACAATATTTCTGGGAGAAATTGGCTTTATTTCTAAGACAAAAATGCCTATCGCTTGAGCATCCGAGCCTCTGGGGATTAAGGGGTTTGTGATAGACAACACTGGAACTGTTTCTAGACTTGATTTATTGACTTGTCTGTTTCTATTCTGTCACTAATCTGACGGACAAGGAAACCCGGTACATGAAAGGATTTCTGCGTGTTTGAGCTCTCTGCCATCAGGGCCGGGTCGACCTGCTCAGAGTGGGTGAGCTCAGGGGTGGGAGGCGTTTGTGCAAGGGCTGTTTGCCTGTGAGGAGGGCGTGTGTGGAAGCCACTCGGGAGAAGTGGGTGCCTCTAGGGAGCTGATTGTCTGTGATGTGAGATGTCCGCCTGGAGTGGGTTAGAGTATGTGCAGTGAAAGCGGTTGGATGGGAGGAGGTAGGCGGGGCTCCCATAGCAGCTTGCAGAAACCCGGTAGTTACAGACTGGTCCTACCGAGCAGCCCTCATCTCGGCCCCCCACCTCTGCCTGCCCCCAACCCCAGCTTTTCCTCCGAGGATAATATTTCCCAGTTGGGAGGCCTTGGGGAGGGGCAGAAGGCGCCGGAGGGCCAGGAATCCAGGAGTCTAAGGACTCCCCTCTCGGGGTCGCGCTAGGTGGGAGTTGGGGGGGGGGGCTGGAAACAGACGTGGGCAGGTGAGCCCCTGCAGGGACAGGCGTGGCGACACGTGGAGGATTTATCCTCAGTCCATCCTCAGGAGTCGGATGCCCTGGGGTCGCCACTTCGCGTGTTCGGCGAGCACACAGGCTGGAAACCCGTCCCCCTCCTCTCCGTGGGGCGGGGGGGAGGTCGACCCCTTTAGGTAGCGGAACCCCGCCTCTCCCTTGTTATCCACGAGCCCCGCCCCCTCTCGCCGCCCGGCGGAGCTCCGCCCCCTCCCCGCCCCCCGCCCGGCCACCACTCTCCCCTACCTCAGTCTGGCCGGCCCCATGTTACTGAGCGGAGCTCCTCCGGCCGGCTCCGGCCCGGGGCCGCGGGCACAGGGGAACGCGGGGGGCGGCCCGGCGGGATCGCGCCGCGGCGCCGGGGGTGCAGGAGCCGGCCCAGGAGGGGGCGGCAGCGGCGGAGTGGCCAAGTGGCTCCGGGAGCATCTGGGCTTCCGCGGGGGGGGCGGCGGCGGCGGCGGAGGTGGGGGCAAGCCGGCGCCCCCCGAGCCGGACTACCGCCCCCCCGCACCTTCCCCGGCCGCGCCCCCCGCACCTCCCCCGGACATTTTGGCTGCCTACCGGCTGCAGAGGGAGCGTGACTTCGAAGACCCCTACTCCGGGGGGCCGTCCAGCACAGCTGCCCTAGCCACCCCCGCCGCCCCCGGCCCCACGCCACCCCCGCGCCACGGCTCCCCCCCCCACCGCCTTATTCGAGTCGAGACCCCTGGCCCCCCAGCTCCTCCGCCTGAGGAACGAATCTCTGGACACCCCGCCAGCAGCGACAGGGTGAGTGCCACGCCGGGCCGGGGGCGGCCAGAAGGAGAGGTGGTCGGAGGTCTGAGGCTTACGAGAGGGACAAAGGTGGCCTGACCGGGGCCGGGCCCCTCGGTGTCACGGTTCCTGGCGGACATGATCTTAGTCTCTGACCCTGGGGCTCGGAGGCTTCATCCACCTTTGTTCAGATTCTCGACCTTCTAATTTGGGACGTGCGCCCCAAACTCTGCCTCTTTCCCTTATTATCGCCCCGGAACTAGTGGCCCTCCCCCTCCCAGGCTCTGCTGTCCTCATCGCAGCCCCCGGAGCCTGATCAGGGAGCCTTTTTCTAACGGAATTTGAGCCCCGCTTCTCCCCAGTTTATGGCCTTTAAACCCTCCGGGAGCAGCAGCTCACTGCCCTTTGATCTCTGACCCCTCCCCCCCAGGGCAGAGTGAGCACAAAGCTCCTTCCCACCTCCTGTTAAGAAAGCCCAAGCATCTTTGCCAGGTACTAAAGCACCAGGAAGGAGGTGAAGGCTGATTTTCTTCCCGTGGACACAGCAAGAGCTGGCTTTTGCCTTAACCCATGGTACTGGAGACCGGTGGACTGTTGAGCAGGGTAGACTGTTGTTCTTAGCAAGCCAGAACCAGCAGTATGCATCTCTTCACCAAGAATGCTGACCACTGAGGTACAGGCAGGGCCACTCCTGTTCTCCCTCCCTATCTCTCCAGGTATGGGGACAGTCAGGCTTTCCTGGTGGCTCAGTAGTAAAGAATCCGTCTGCTAATGCAGGAGACTCGGGTTTGATCCCTGGGTCGGGAACATCCCCTGGAGAAGGAAATGGCAACCCACTCCAGTATTCTTGCCTGGGAAATCCCATGGACAGAGGAGCCTGGCGGGCTGCAGTTCACGGGGTCACAGTCAGACACGACTTAGCAATTAAACAACAACGTGGGGGCAGTCAATGCTCAGAACCTGTTGCCCAGAAGGGGCTAAGCAGCTGAGCCCATTCCTCTCTTCTTGGCCTTGTCCTCCCGGTGTCCATTCTAAGGATGGCTAGAGCTTTTCATGGATCTTCAAGCTTAGGGCTCTCGCCATTCCTGAGAACATCCATTGTGGCTCAAAGCCCCAGGTAGAGGAACCACCCTCGGCCCAACTCCTGTGGCCTGAGAGCTGAAAGCCATCCTCAGGCCCCTGTGACCCTAAATTCTAGGAAGATGACTCTGTGGGTGGCCCTGGCTCTGTTGTTCCTCTTCACTGACCTCTGGGAGCTTGCTCTTTGGCTTACTCCCCTCTCCTCAGCAGAGAACACTGTTTTCTTTGATTGGAGAGCAAAGTTGCTGTGTGAATCCATTGGCTCCAGTGTTGAGGTTTTCAGCTGAAAGTGTGATGCTGTTCTGCCCAATTTCCTGGGTAAGAGAGATGTCTCGGGGTCAGAGAGAAGCCTCAGGAATGTGAGTTATTTTTCCCTGAGTTCCTGCCATGGGGCACGGCTGCCCATCCTGGGCACAGACCCTTTGCCTGCAGAAGGCAGCTGTGCTGTCCCCACGTGTCCTTAGGCTCCTCTTCTTCCTAATTTTCCCTGTTGATGATGGTGGTGGTGGCGGCAGTGGCTTTGTTCTTACTATTGACCAGTTAGTCTCCTCCTGCCTGACCATTGCCTGTGGGCATGTGGGCCTCGACTGTCCCTGGCTCTCCTCCTCTCTGCATCCTCTTGGAATGGCATAACAGGCTGCCCACCAAGCCATGGGCTCATATTGTGTCTCACAGTGCCTGACACAGAATTTGGCATAAAGAGGGGTGGTGCATAAATAAGTCCTGAGTGGTGACTGTGAATTGCCTTAGTGACCTGAGGGTGAGCAATTCCCCTAACTAAAGCTCCCCATGTCCATATTCTCACAGAGACCCCAAGGAAGGGGCTGTGCCCACACAACCATGTGGAAACCCACAGCCTCTTCTCACCGCGGGCATCCATCCTTCCCCCAGTCGGCTCTGTGATCTGTGGGCTAAGCGGTGTCTGACTCCTTTGTCAGCTGTGGGGACAGAAATGAAATGGAGCACTCCGTGGTTTAGTGGGTGTGTGAGAAAGACTCAGGAAGCTATCTGAGCTGACCCCAGGGCAGGGAAGCTGACCTGGAGCCGCCCCCGCCCCATTCAGAGAGAGCAGCTCCACCCTCTCAGGAGCAGAGTTTGGATCTTCTTAGGAAGAGCCCAGACTGCACACCTGAGCCCCTTACCCTAAACCCAGGTGGCGGCCCGTGCCTGCAGAGCTCGCACAGAGCTGTGGCTTCTAGATGGTGAGCCGGCCTGGCCCCCCCGAGCTCGTGCTCAGTCAGTGTTTCTGTTCTGTGTGGCTGCTTTCTCCTTAGTCTCTGTTTCCCCTCCTCTTAGCCCTGCAGGTCCCCTTGGCTTGTTGCTTTGGGGTCACTTCCTAAGGCACGATGAAGCTGGGCCCCAGGTTTTGCCTTGGGCTGGCTCATTTCTCTCCTTCTGCAGCCCAGCAGCTGGTGCTGGGTGGGTCAGAACCCTCTGAGAGAGGCTGGATCATGAGGTTTGATGAAATGGGTGGAAATGCTTCTGTGATGAGCCAGAGAGATTGAAGGGGAATGAGCCCAGTGGATGTGGGGTCAGGAGAGAATAGGCCTTCAGACAGGACCCTGAGAGGCCTGGGGGCTCAAGACCATTTGCCTTCTCCCCATGCAGGGCTCTGGCTGCTGGCCCACCCTGAGACCCATGGCTGCAGTTGGCAGGGGTGCACGGGTGGCCATCTGGGCAGGCCTGGCAGGGCAGGTGTGGGAGCAGCAGGAGCCGCGCCCTGCACCAGGCAGGCAGGGCCTCACCATCTGGCTGCAGGAAGGCTCCCTCTTGGTCCTGGGCCCTGTCTGGCCATCAGGCTGTGTGCTCTGGCAGAGGGGCTAGAGAGCTATGCCTTCCCTTGCTTTGCTCCCTTTTCTCAGACCTTCAACGGGAAAAACCTGATCTAATTAGCAAAGGGGGCTGGGGATGGGAGAGGGGCCCTGATTGGATGAAGCTTTGAGTTGGGTCTGACTATCTGCACAGTGTGTCCTTTGCCTCCATCATGCCAAGATGTGTGAGAGAGATGGACAGAGATGAGAATGAGAGTGAGAGCAAAACAGAGGTGATGTGAGCAATAAGACAGGCAACTTGTATGAACTGAAACTAAGGTTCTTGTCCCTAGCTCACAGAGGGGCCTCTAGGGTTCACGAACCTCCAGAAATAGTGTGCAGATATTTGGGTGAGCAAGCACTTTTCTGCAAAAAGGCTCACAGCTCTTCGGTTCTCATTGGTGTTCGCAGGGCCCAGAATATTAAGAACTTTGAAAAATAGATGCTATACCTCATAGATGATTTTCATGTGGACTTGGATCCTCCAGGCCCAATTTGGAAACGAGTGAACAGATAAGCAGGAGGAAGGAAGTGAAGGATACATTCTGGGTGCCAGAAGATGAACAAACTGTGCCTGCCCTGGGGTTAGGAGGGCAGGTAGGGGCCCTCCCTTGGCCAGTGTTTATGGAGTGTTTGAGTATCATTAAATGATACTGGCCCAGGCACCACCTGGGAGGCCGAGGTCTTGCCTTTTTTGGGTTTGTTTGCTTTAATTTTCCTTCTTATGACTTGCACAGAATCTGTTTATCTTACACCTGTCCTCGTGTCCCCAGTGATGGAGGAAAAGAGAAGGGTCTGGGTCAAAGGACCCCTGTGGACTGGTTAGACCTCTGAACCCTCTGCAGCCCAGGCTGGCCATCTGTGCTGCCATAGGTGCGTTGAGGAGGGCTGAGGCCCGCGGCTACTGTGGGATGGTGTGGCAGGCCTGTCCACTCTCTCCACTGCTGCCTCCTCACGCTGCGACACTCCCTCCTCTGGAAGACACCTGTGGCTTGTTGGCCAGTGACTCAGTGACACCGTAGCCCTGGTGCTTTCCCTTTGGGAGCCAGGAACAGGCAGGAGCCTGTAACCAGAATGGGAGTAGCTGGCTGGGGTCCCGGGCTTGGAGAGCCAACACCAGCTGCCCTCTCTGGAGAACCAGTGTGGTATGATAGGAGAGCAGAGAAGGGGCCCAGACCCTGCATACAGTGAGCCTGTCATGCTTCCAGAGCCCAGGGCTCAGCCGTGTGGCCTCACAGCACCTCAAGGTGCTTCTTCTCTCTCGGAGCTTGTTTCGTGTGTGTGTCACTGTGAGCGCCTGAAGGATCCCGAAATTTGTTCTTTTCATATCTAACAATGTAATCATGGACGTTCACCTCATATCTAGCACTGTTTGAAGCAGCTCATGTATACTAGACCAGTTGATCCTCACAACAACCCTATAAGGACAAGTCTGGTCTGTTATTATTCCAGCATTACAAATAGGGAGACCAGGAATGTTGAGTCACGCTTACTTGGTTTCACAGCTAGTTAGGAAAGCTGAAAGCTGACGTTCCGTAAGGGGCAGCCGGATTCCAGACTGACTGCCAGTATCATGCAAGAGACCTTTGCACCAGCCCAGAGGAGCCCTGCAGAGAGAGGAAGTGTCACTAAGCATTTGCTAATGAACAAGGGGAAGGAGACTCTTAAAGAAGGAATGAGGATTGCATTCTATGCTGAGTTCACAATTGCCTGAATGCTGAAGGCCATACTTGCTCCTGAATCCCAAAGTGGCCTCAGACAGACCTTATAAGAGTCTTGCAAGGGTTAGTTAGTACATGTCTGTGATGTTTGAATGTTTTACAGGCATGGCATTGCTTTGTGGTTAGAAAAGGATAATAACAGATTTGCTTCATGTGAAGGCATTTCCTTGGCAGATAATATTGGGAAGGGCATTCCGGTAAGTGGGAACAGAAAGTGCAAAAAGTTTGATCTCGAGGAAGGTAAATATCAGTAGTACACCATTTCCGAAACTGACAGATTTTCAGTGGAAAAACGATTTCATAGTTAAAATAATTTGGAGAAATGCTGAATTAGACAAAATTAGTTTATTCTTTTGACTGTAGGACTTCTCATAGCCTTTAACATGCTAAGGTGTATGTTACATCTACAAGTAGAGGAGGGAAGATGCTACATTTCCCAATTCTGGAAAATCTAGGCAAGGCACCGAGAGTCAGGGGACCTGGGTCTCTGACTTTCTTGTCTCCACTGCTGCAAACTGTGCACCCTGGACAAGCCTGGACTCTAGGGCCCCAATGCCTGTATACAAGAGATTATCATCAGGGCTAAGACTGATGGAGCACTGACTCCATGCCAGCCTCTGGGCCAAACACTTTTTGTACTCATTGTCCTCTACCCAATCCTGTGAGACAGATACTAATACCACCCCCATTCCACAGATGAAAAGACCAGAGGCTTCCAGACATTAAATGAAAGAAATAGAGGAAAGGGGCAGTGGTAGACTTTGGAGACCTTACAGAGCCCAAATACTGTGACATGTGACCCCTTGCTCCCCTGGCCTTAAGAACCCCATGGGTTGGCTGAGGAACTCATAGCAGGGTCCAGCTGCAGAGTGGGAGGGTGGAAGCAGATGGTGGGCCTGCCAGCTCCCTCAGGAGAGGCCTGGGCAGGAAGGAAAGGCAGAGCCCGACAGCTACTTTGGGAGGGGCCACTGCCCAACTCAACAGGCGCAAGAGCAGGGTCTTGGAGCCACACTGCCAGATGGCAGGAGGGGAAGGAGACCTGGTTGGCAGGGGGCCCTCTGGGCAGCAGCCACTCACCTATCAGTTTGGAAATATTTCAGCATTTCAGCAGCGTTCCAACTACCAGAGGGTTTGCTTAATATCAGCCCCGGGTTTTAGGTACCTTCTGTGTCCATTCCTTCCAGCTGACCTTGAGCCAAAAGCTTTGATCTCCATCAAATATCCATTCTCCTGACTGGCTGCTCCCACAGCCCCTACTGGTCAGTCAGTTAGAATGAATGGGGGTCTGAGAGTTGGTGTCTCTCCAGAAGATGGAGTCTGGGGAGCAGGAGGCCTTTTGAGCATCCAGAATGCGCACTGAGCAGCTACCGTGTGCCAGGCTGATACCGTGTACTACAGCGAGCACGTCAGAGTCGGGTAGAGGGCCCATAAAGTAAGTCGTGGTGGAGCAAAGGTGTCAGAAGCCGGCAGAGGCAGCTTTCCCGCACCTGAGTGGCTTGCCTCCTCACGTGACCTGGAACCACTGGGAAAGCAGGTCTGGTCTCTGATGGGGGTCCCCCATGTCCAGGGCAGGTGCTTATCCTGCCAACCTCCCAGCAGGCGTCTCTGCTGCAGTTCCTGATCCTGGTCCTGTGGGTGGCTTTTCTGGGCGCCCCCGCCTAGTGTGAGGGCTGGGGCTTCCTGGAGCAGGTGTAGAGCCAGGAATGGAACAGAGGAGCCATTGAGCTGCCCACAAAGCTGCCACCTGGGTGCCCATGGGCCCTGCAGGCTGGTGCTGTGGAGGCCCACGCCAGCCTGGGAGGGGTCACAGCACCTGGCCCAGGCTCTGGTGGGAAGGGCCGGCCTGCAACTCTGACTGAGCTGGGAAAGCCAGGGCATGGGGCGTTCCGTGGAGTTGGCGAGGAGGGGCCTGGGGCTTGGGCCAGGCGCTCCTGCTCCCAGAGCAGCTTCTGGGGACTCATACCTTCTGTCTGACTCCTCACCCAGATTCATGCTTCCTCTTCTGAATGAACAAGGAAAAGTGCTTCCTTTGTCCTTTCTTCCTTCCTGTTTATATGAACTGATTCAGCACATAATTACTGAGCACTTTAGGCATTGGGAATTTAGCAGTAAACATGGTTCCTGCCCTCAGGAAGTTCACAAGAAGACAGATAAGAAGACAGTATATACTACACAAGAAGACAGATAAGACAGCAAGAAGGCAGATAAGAAGACAGTATATGCTACACAATGTGATGATAGCCCAGCACAGAGCCCCTAACCAGACCTGGGGGGAGACTGACTGGAAGGCTTTCTGAAGAGAAATAAGCTGATCCAGGAAAGCCTTAAGATAAAAGAAAGAGATTATAGAGCTTTCAGGTAATGAAGTGACCTGAAACTTCAGGGAGGAAGAGAGAACCCATAGAGGGAAGTGGAATCTTTACATTTCTTTAACTTTGGACTTTTATTTTTGGCACTGCAGAGCCATTGCAAGGTTTGTTGATTCAGTTACTGTTGAGTAGCTGCCACGTGTGAACATGAGGCTAGGTGCCAGCTCGGGTGGGTACCCAAGTGGGCTGGCCTCAGAGCTCCTTGGTTGAGTGGGTGGGACTGTAGGTGCCTATTGGTCTAGGATGAAGCAGCTTGGGGTGAGAGTGGATTTCTTTTCTCAACTTGCTGGAGAAAGGAGGACTAGGAGTAGAGGCTCTGAGGGGAGCTAGGCAGTGATGTAGAAGAAACACTTTTTTTTTTTGGTCACACCATGCAACATGCAGGATCTTAGTTCCCCAACCAGAGATCGAACTTGTGCCCCTTGCATTGGAAGCGCAGAGTCTTAAACACAGGGCCACCAAGGGAGTCACTAGAAGAAACATTTTTCTAGTGCCTACTGTGGACCAGGTGCTTATTGGAGCTGGAGAGACAAAAATGACAAAGAGGTCAGGTTACAGGATGAGGTTACAGGATGAGCTGGTAGAGGTGATGGGATGATCTGAGATGTGGGCCTTAGGGGCAGGCAGAGATACAATGGAGATAAAGGAGCTGGTGGTCTTGACTGGAAGGAGGTGAAACGAGTGGGAGCTGGAGAACTGAAGGATGAGAGTTCAGCTAGGAGCTGTTGGGATGCATGTCAAAGACCCCTGGAGGGGCCTGTAGGAGTGCTGCTGCTACTGCTAAGTCGCTTCAGTCATGTCCGACTCTGTGCGACCCCATAGACGGCAGCCCACCAGGCTCTGCCATCCCTGGGATTCTGCAGGCAAGAACACTGGAGTGGGTTGCCATTTCCTTCTCCAGTGCACGAAAGTGAAAAGTGAAGTCGCTCAGTCTTGTCCAACTCTTATCGACCCCATGGACTGCAGCCCACCAGGCTCCTCCATCCATGGGATTTTCCAGGCAAGAGTACTGGAGTCGGGTGCCATTGCCTTCTCCGAGTGCTAGGAGTGCTAGGAACCTGCAAAACGGGGTGTCTGAGGTAGGAAGTTTTTTTCTTCATTCCACCTTGCTAGGGGTCCCAGATCCTATTACCCAGGACAGGGTGGTCATCCCCACAGCCTCCCTGCCCAGCTGACTCCCAGAGTTCTGATCTGGACCAGAACCAAAGTCTAGAAGAATAGGGGAGAGGCAGGAGCAGCCCCTGCCCTAGGCCACAGGCCTCACAGCTACCTCTCGTCAATGCCCGGCATCCCGGTGTGCACTGCCCCCCTGGGGCTGTTGGCACGGGGTGGACTGGGCTCTGTCTGCCTCAGCAGGTGCCCCCCCAGCCTGTGCCCAGCTTGGAGAAAGGCTCTATTGTCCTCAATGAGCCCCACCCCAGCACCTTAAGCTCTTCTGCAGGGTGTGTGGTTGCGGTTCACTCTGCCTTGACTGGAAGCAGGAACAGAGGGGTGGCCATGAGCCACTTGTGTGAGAGAAAGGAGCAGCTTGAGTGTGGAGGGCCAAGGCCAGGGCTGTCCTGTCCCTGCCCTCCAAGAGCCCAGAGGGGTTCCGCAGAGCCCAAATCCTGGTTTTCTCAGGGCTATCCTAAGGTGGTCTCTCTCCCAGGGCAGCCCAAGATGCCTGTGGTAGCAGGTTGGCAGCATGATTTTGCACAAAGGGCACAGGTTCCAATCCTGGTTCCTCCGCTTTCCTGGAACAGACTTGGGTATGTTGTTCCCTACCTGTCCTGAGCCTCCATTTCCTAAAAATGGGGATAATAATTCCCATATGGCATTGTGAAGGGTGTTGTGAGGATAAACCAGCGAACCGTGACATAAAGTCAGTGCTCAGCCCTTCCTTCCTTGATGGTCAGCAAATACTTCAGCATCTGGGAGGGCAGTGGTAGACATGAACCAAGCTAATTGCCCAGTTGCTTGCTCTCCTCTGCTTATTCTTAGGATGCTCCCAACACCTTTATAAGCAGGTCTCTGAATTAATTCCCTCTGTTAGGTCATCTGATCCTGCCTGGACTCTGAGGCAAGCCTTAAGGCCCAGAGCCTTATCCTACGGCCATCTTGCCTAGGGGATGGCCCAGAGGCACACAATGAAGAGAAAAGGAAGATGGACCATTCTGTGGGCAGCCTAGTGGGGGACCCCACAAAGGAAGAGCCAGAGCTTGTCCCCATCCAAGCTCCTGGGCAGCCAGGACTCTTGCTCCCATGGACAGAGCAACCAGGGAGAAGCAGAGCTGTCTCTCAGATGTCTGAAGCCTGCTCGTCTCACTCTCTTCCCACAGTTAGCAATCCTAGAAGACTATGCGGACCCTTTTGATGTTCAGGAGACTGGCGAAGGCCCAATAGGTGCTTCAGGAGCCCCAGAGAAGGTCCCTGAAAATGACGGCTACATGGAACCCTATGAGGCACAAAAGATGATGGCTGGTAAGTGATGGAGTCGGCGGTGGAAGCAGGGTGGGGGACACTCCCTGAGGCCTGAGAATTCGCAGGACAGGCTCTGGGGCCCACAAGTCTAAGGACTGATTCCTTGGTCCCGAGAAAATGTGGAGAAAGCTTTTTCTGGGTCCTTGGGGAGGGTGGTGGCCATTGCCTTCAAGATAGTCATTTTGGAGGAGCTGGGACTTACGGAGCCTAAGACCTAAGGTACTGGAGAAGGCCATACAACCAAAGGGCAGACCGTAGAAGCATTTGGGATAGTCAGGAAGGGCAAGCTAGTGGTATGGGCTGGGCTGGGGATCACTGATCCCAAGAAGAGAATCACTAGCTTTAGGGAAGGTGATGGGGTCGAAACGATGGGATGTTGAAGTGAACACCTTTGTGGCAACTGGAAACACACAACTAGACATGCAGATGCAGTGCACAGGAGAGTGCGTACGTAGTTCACGGAGTGAGGGCAGGGAGAAATAAATGAGAGCTGGCCCTGGGGAAGAGAGCTCAAGAAAGCATACAGAAAAGGGGGCCAACTGGGTAGGATGTGGCGAATCAGTGTAAGCCAAGGCCCCAGGGCAGGATGAAAGGAAGGTTTGTTCAGGGGCAAATAATCTTAGTGCTAGGCATACGGCTAAGCCTAGCTAAGAGCTAAGAGGGGCAGTAAAGGGCTCAAACGCTTGAATGAGGCATTTGGACTTGCTCCAGAGTGGGGAGGGGAGCCATTATGTATTCTTGAGCAAGAAAGAAACAGGATGAATATGGCATTTTAAGAGGATTACTGAGGCTTTGGTGTACAGAACAGGCTAGAAGAACTGGGCATCAGGAAGATGAGTTAGTTGGCTATTGTGGAAATTGTTGAGGCTTTAAGAGACCAATAATTAACACTCCTTTCTTCCCCTCTGGGCTTGGAAATAACCGAGAAATAGGATTAGGGAAACAGACAGATGGAGATAGCAATGTCAGCTTTATTACTGATAAAGTTGATTGGAGAACATTACTTAGCTATGTCACTACAATGGGCTTCTTAATACTTCACCACAGAATTAAACTTGTCCACTCAGGCTTAGGCAACACAGGACAGCTGTAGGCCCCTGCACGGGGGCAGGAGGAGAAAGAACCAGAATGTTCTCTCTGCAAGTAGACAGATGTGGGAAAGAAAGGAAGCATCCACTGTCCGATCAGATAAGCTGCTCTCCCTCCCTCCCTGGGTGAGGTGCATGATGGGGCAGAGAGAAGTGGGGAGTGTTATTCCATAGAGACCATGAAACATGAGCCTGTAGAGTGGAGGTTCACCCTAGCAGTAATCTAGATGAGGAGACCTGGCCCTGTGGAATGGAGGTCAAGATAAAGCGTCAGAGGGAGAGGGGTCATCGTGGAGAGTTGAAAGAGGAGAGTCAGCAGGTATTGGCACTGAACATGCGGGATTCAAAGAATGAAGAGGGCCCAGGACCAAGGAGAGCAGTGTAATCATCAGCAGTGGAGAAAATGAGAGGGTGGCTACTGTATTTAGATCAGAGGGGTGTGGATGCCTGGGAGGTCTAGGAGAGCCCTGGAGTTGTATGAGAAAATTTGCACATTTTTCTGGGGGAGTAGCTCCATAGTTTTTATCAAATTTTCACTGGGGTCAGTGATCTCTAAAAGAGGATCACAGAACAAACTAGAACTTTGGAAGAAAGCAGTGAGTTTGAAACACCAAAGGGAAATAGCTTTATGGCAGTTGGAAACATACAGATGCAAAGGGTGCCATGAGACTGAAGAGTGAGGGCAGGGAGAAATGAATAAGACTTGGCTGTATGAGAACAGAGACCAAGAGAGGGATCCAGGGAAAGAGACTGAACGGGGGTGATCAGAGAGGCAGACAGTCCATGAAATTGACTCATCCACACACAAAAAAAAACAGAAAGAAAGAAATTGACTCATCCAAGGGGACAGTTTCAAGGAAGAGGAGGTCAGCAGTACCTAAACAACAAACAAGGATTTTCTGACTGTGAGATGACAAAACTTGGGGCGCAAAGAAATAAATGGATCTGGGTAGCAAGGAGGAAATGGACTCTGCCTCAGTTTCCAAAATGAGTAAGCCTCAGCAACCCACCCCTTGCTGGCCATCACAGGATCTCTTTTCAGTCTTTCCCTTTGGTGCTTCTCTGCCCCCTGCCTCTGTGGGGTCCCATGCTATTGGAACCCCAGGGGTGTTTTGAGGGGCTCTGGCCTCCCCGCAGAGTCAGCAGCCTCCCCTCTGAAGTCTTGTAGCTGGAGGGTGCTGCCTGCCAGGGGAGCTGAGCCAGGCAGCCAGGACTGCTCACACCTCCCCTCCTGCCTTGCCCTGGCAGAGATCCGGGGCTCCAAGGAGACAGCAGCTCAACCCCTGCCTCTGTATGACACACCCTATGAGCCAGAGGAGGAGGGGGCCACCCCAGAGGGTGAGGGGGCCCCTTGGCCCCGGGAGTCCCGCCTGCCAGAGGACGATGAGAGGCCCCCCGAGGAGTATGACCAGCCCTGGGAGTGGAAGAAGGAGCGGATTTCCAAAGCCTTTGCAGGTGAGTCCTGGGTGGAGAGGGCAGCTCTGCTGGTGCTTCGGAGCAGCTTTCCAGGCTCAGGGGAATGGGAGGACTGGGCCCTGGGGACAGAGGTGATGAGTTGGGCACTGTGAACACAAACTGTGTGCAGCGTCAGGGGATGACTTCCTGCATCACCACCTCTCAGGCCCCCATCTTTTAGGAGGCAGGGTAGACTTAAAAGTAAAGAAATTCCAAACAAAATGCTCAAACTTGTGGCCTGTGTTAAAGACTTACATTTAACAAAGCAAAGCACTTAATACTCCAGACAGTAAAAACCCCCTATGTGTACAGCCTGACTGCAAGGGGATTTCTCAAGCATGGAAACAGGTGGGGAGAGGGAGAAATGATCAGGTTTCTCCTGTACCAATCACCCCAGGGTCCATCCCAGGCCCGGAGTCCAACATGGAGAGGATGTGCGTGGGTGGTGCAAGATCCTGGATCCTTGATTCAGTGAGAACATCAAGGACTTGTGCCGTTAGACCTCATTCCTGCTCCTGTGTCCTTCTCAACCTTCCCTGGGCAAAGGGCTCGTCCTGAAGCTGGACTCGGCTCTCTGCTCTGTCCCCCCAACCCTGGCAGCCAGACTGGGAAACCACAGCTTTCTCATTTGTTTCCTGTAAAGCATGCACTATGGAGGACAGGCCATTTATCTCCAGGAGTCTCCTTGGAGAATCGATACTGTTTGGATTGCTTAATGAGAAAATCTATGCTCGTCATTAGGAAACCTCGTTAGCAGTCCTGCAGCCGCCAGTGGCATGGCTCTGCTAATTGTCAAGGCTCAGGATTGAGAATGTGGGGGGTAAATTTCAATAAAACATCTGCCCTTCTGTCTGAGCTTTCCTGACACCCTATGGCCAGACTGTTTGGGTCTTGTTGCCCATGAGTTCCCAGGCTTCAGGTCAAAGGGAGAAGAGAGGCAAGGTGGGAGGTGCCAGGAGGCTGTGGGGGTGCCTGGGTATGGTGCTGAGTGGTGTGGACAGCCCTTTGTCCCACTTTTCCTCCCTGCCCAGTCCCTTTGGGCCCTGGAGGCTCGAGAGATGTCAAAAGGGACCTGTGGAGCTAACAGAGCAGGGCTCTGTGTCCTGCTGTTTGTCACCGGAGCCACCCACCAGGGCGTGGTCAGTGTGGCTCCACCCAGTCCCCTGAGAATCCTGTTCTTCCCCCAGAAGCCGTTCCTGCCTCTGCTCTGACCTTTTTCCTTTCTAGGCTGTCCTGTGTCCTGGCTCTGGTTTCAGTGTCTCAATCTGTGCCTCTCTCTGTCTCTGTCTCTGTCTGTCTCTCTTCTCCCGGCTACTCCTGGCTCCAGTTGACATTAAGGTCATCAAAGACCTACCTTGGCCTCCGCCCGTGGGACAGCTGGACAGCAGCCCCTCCCTTCCCGACGGGGACAGGGACATCTCCGGTCCAGCCTCACCCGTCCCCGAGCCCGGCCTGGAGGATGGCAGCGGTGGGTCCTGTGGGGGCTTCTAGCTAGGGTCAGCCCTCAGGCCCTGTGGGATTGGGTTGGAGGAGCTGAGAGGTGGGGTGGAGTTAAGAGAACCCAGGAGGAATCCCTCTGGCCCTGGAGGAAGAGGAAAGGGACAAAGGACACGGTCCTCCCACCCTAAAGTACAGGGGAGGTGCCTCCTAAGAGAGGCCCCTTCCAGATATCTTTCCCACCAAGCCAGGTAAATCCACTCTTCGAAATTCACCTTTTGGGGCAGAGCACTGCCTGACCGGATCCTTCAGCAGCACAAATAACTGAGGCTGGGTGATACTAGCCCAGGAAGTACCTGACTCCTTAAAGGAGAGGTCTGATTTTGCATCTGGTGACTGAAGGGCTTGAAAGTGCTACTCAGAGAGAAAAAGAGCCCAAATGGGGAGAAAGAAGACACTGAACCTTTCATCTATGTTCAGTTTTATGCACAATGGGCAGCCAGGGGTAGGCTTGCATCTGTGAGTACACACACAGGCATGAGCACTTGTTTGTACATTCATGCCTGTGTGTGAGTGAGCATTTTGTAAATACAGGCTGAGGGAGGGTCTCTGTCACCTGTGCATGCTGGCTTTACCCATGTGGCTCACCGGCTTCAGCCCTCCCTGGGCAGGCTGCCCAGGGTCTTGGAAGGGCTCTGGGGTCTGGGAGGGCACCGCTACTTCTGCTGGGCTTCTGTGGGGGGCATGGGGATGGTGGGGGGAGTCTAGGGGCAGCGACCTTGGGGGCGGGGGCAGGCTGGTGGCTTTGGGCTTTGGGCAGGATTAGCCTGTCAGGATGGCACCAAGGGGAATCAGATAATTGTTCTCAGATCGATAAGTCATTTCTGCAGAATGGCTTGGCAGGGTGATTTGGAGAACGGTAATGAACTCTGAGGAGGAGAAAGAAACATTATCAGCACTGAAGCCACCCTGAGGGGGGATGGGGTGAGGGAAGGCAGTCATCTCCTCCAGAGGGAGAGACTTAAGTGGTTTCTCATGTCGCTTCTCTCCCCTCTCCTGCCACAGGATGGGGACCGAAAGGCCCGCTGTGCACAGGAGAGCTGAGCGCCACCCCCACCCAGGAACGGACCCAGGATACTGTCCCTAGAGCTCAGCAGGCTCATGAGCAGGCCCCACCCTTGCAGAATATTCCTTTGTTCCCTTTTGGGTGGAAATGGGGATGAAGCACTGGCGAGTCTATAGGGCTTTACCTCTATAGAGTCCTCAGAGTCTGTGACTGGTATGTTCCCCACAGCCCAGTTTGAAGGATCTGAGAAGAGCTGCCTGTCACCTGGCCGGGAGGAGAAAGGGCGCCTCCCTCCCCGACTCTCTGCAGGGAACCCCAAGTCAGCCAAGCCCCTAAGCGTGGAGCCCAGCAGCCCCCTGGGGGAGTGGACAGACCCAGCACTGCCTCTGGAAAACCAGGTGTGAGTGTCTGTGTCCAGTTGGGGACCCGCCCCTCCCTTCCCTTCCTGGCACTGACTTGCCGGCAGGGAACACTCAGAACGGGTGGCCCTGGACAGCCAGGGCCCCAGCAGAGACGCCCCCCTTTCTTTCCCTTGTCCTCAGCTGGTATCACGGGGCCATCAGCCGAACAGATGCCGAGAACCTGCTCCGGCTGTGCAAAGAGGCCAGCTATCTGGTGCGCAACAGTGAGACCAGCAAGAACGACTTCTCCCTGTCCCTCAAGTGAGTGGGGCCTGCTGGCTGGGGGCTCTAGACAAGAAGAGCCTGTCAGGATGAGTCCAAGGGGAATCAGTGTGAGGACTACCGGCAGGACGGGAGGAGTCTCCAGTCTCTCTCCCGTGCCCAGCCAGGCTGGGGAGAATGCGATCCCCTGTGAACACGTGCTGACTCTGGGCAAGCCTGGGCACCTGAGGCTTGACTGAAGCTCAGCCTCTGCTCTCGAGGAGCTTGGAGTTCATTGGGGAAAACTGTTAAGATTTGAATCCAGCTTAGAAGGGTTCTGTCCCTTTCTAGCTCTGTGACCTGGAGCCCCTTAACCTCTCTGGGCCTCAGGGCAATAACGATATCTGCCTTATAGGAAAGGATTAAATGAAATGAGCACTTAGCATAGTGCTTTGAGTGCTTAATAAATTATCAGTGTCATCATTATTAACAACAGTCCAAGATGTTCTAGAAGTACAGGGGAGGAGATGGGAACTTGCCTGTGGAACTCAACAGGGTGATGGACACTGGGTCCTGGGAAGAAAGTGGAGTGTTGGACACAGAGCTGTTCTTGTTCATTCTGAGGAGGTGGGCAGAAGGTCTGGGGGCTGGCGGCTGACAACTGAGCTATAAAGGGTCCTGAAAGAGGCAGAGGAGTCAGGGCACCTCCTCCTCCTCAGCCTTCCACTCTGGGCACAGATATTATACATATACCAGCATCTGCCTCCCAGGTTTTACTGGCAGGATGGCTAGTCTCCTTGGCGCTCAGGAGTTCTGTCTAGTAGAACCCCACATGGCAGCCTGTCAGAGCGCTGTGTCCATTCACATCTCCCATCATTACTGCACCACCTATACCACTTCCTACCATATTTCCTAGGGGGCATTAGAGTACAGGTATATCCCACTTCAAACATCCAATATATGGAAATTTGGGAGTACTAAACACACACATTTGAGGATAATTATGCAACTTCACTAAAAGATAGTGGGAAAAAATGCCAAACTAAAGTCAGATAACCTGAATTTCATTCTTGGTTTTTAGTAAAACTACCTGTGTGACCTTAGGCAAATCACTTAAGCTCTCTGGACTTTAGTTTCTACATTTGCAAAATATGTCCAATGGATATCTCTTAGGTTTCTTCCAGCTTTTCTGCTCAGGGGGTTGGAAGTTATGAAAACAAAGGAACATTCAGGAAAAACTCATTTGTTAAAAATTTGAGCTACATAACTTCGGAAATGTGTATTGCTTTAAAAATCAATGTCATGATTCCTAGAGCATCTGCTAGGTGCCAAGCAGCATATACACCATCTCCAAATCAACTACTGTCTGCAAGATCAATCTCTTTTTTTAATAGAAAGAAAACAGATTCCAGAGGTATGTGATTTGCTCAAGGCCAACAGCAAATAAAGTGCCTAGAGCAGGCTCTGAACCTCACTCAGGCTGCCTCCACGAACCTCACTGTTCCACTGCACAGTTCCACCCCCGTCAAGGCTGGTATGGTCCAAAGCAAGGGGAGACATGGGGTCTGGCTCCCAAACAGTAGAGTCTGGGCCCTGCCTTATCCCGAGGAGTGAAGGAGGGGGGCGGCCTGGACACTGCTCCAGCCCAGGCTGATCTGGGCCTGCCAGCATCTGTCTGCCAGAGCCTCGTTTGCATATAAATGGCTTCTCTGAAATACAATTATGGTTTCTCTTTTCTCTGTAATGGAAGGGCTTTCACTGGTAATTAAACAGCTTCCTCCAAAAGCCTGCCAGCTCTCATGCTGCGGGCCAGCTAGTCCCACCCTGGTTCCCAGAGGGTCAGGCAAAGGCTCTGCTGTGTCCTAATGGACGCTTGGGACTTTGTCTCAGGAGGTCAGTTATCCACATGGAGGCTGAGCTCTCAGCTGCCAGCTCAGTTCTTTGACCACTTGTTGCTCTTTTTGGCGAGACCTGTCCCTCAAGGAGAAGATATAAGTACAGTTTTCAGGGGAGGTAATCCCCCAAGTGCACTGTGGGGAGGGGGCTGTCCCCTAACGGTGAGAGCACAGGGCCCACGCTGCTGCCCACAACCATGGGCTGGGCTTTGGGCACAGGACGGACAGGGGAGGGAGACTACTCACTGCCTTCCCTTTCCATTGCCCCAGGGTCTGTAACCTTTCCTCAGGCCTTTTGCTCTATTCTGGGGGCCTGCATGCTCACTGTCAATTCAGCCTTATCTCAGACCTGCAGATGAAAAATGGCCCCACACCCTGACACACACCCAGGCTTGAGGGCACTCCACCCTAAGTGGGAAGGGAAGGATGGAGTTAAGGGCCTGTTGTTTTCTTCCCATCCCTTTCCTCTTTAGTTTCCCCATTCTCCTTGCTTTCTCACTGAAGGCCTAGTGCAATGGGTCCAGGCAGAGCCTTCTTTGTACACAGACAGGGGAAGCAAGTGGTGGTTTGCCAGCCTCAACTCAAGGGTAGAGCCTCACAAAGAACAGTCCCCTTGCCAGTCCTGCCTCTCACCAGCTTCAGAGCCCTGCACATGTCCTTCCAGGGGCTCTGACCAGCAGAAGCAAGTCCTCAGGCTTCAGGGCTCTCCCAGGGATTGTTTCTCTGTTGCCCGTGTGTGCATTTTAGACCTGGGGCCTGGCCGACCAGGCTGGTGGGAGTTTGAACAGACGTTCTTGCTGGGAGCCGGCCAGAGCTCAGCAGCATGGCCCTCATCTTGTGGGCAGGGCTGGGCACTAATGCTGATTTCCTGGATTGTGGTCGGGAGATGGGAGAGGCAGTGAAGCATGTCCTCTCTGAGGAAGGGAATGGAGCGGCAGCCTGGTGATGATGTCATCCCAGGCAGAAGAGCTGGATAGATGGGTGGGGCGGGGAGGAGGAGGGGGTTGGGGGGATTGGCCCAAGGCCCGGTTAGCAGGAGGGTGAAGGGATGTCCTCCGGGACCAGCCAGCTGGGTGTTCCCAGATTCGGAGGGATGCCCAGAGCAGCTCACCCCCTCCCCCAAATCATTGCAAGAGAGAATCCCAACCAAGAGTCACTTGGCTGTTACATCTGGCCACCCACTGTCCTGCCAAGGGTGTCTGTTCATGAGTCACCAGAAGCTCCCCCTACACAGGTGTTCTCCCCCACAGCTCCAGGAGGGGGAGGATAAACTGGCCCTAGCTGGGGGGCGGGAGAGACTGGATCCCATAGTTGGGGGGTGGTGCTGATAGCTTGTTTCCACCTGCACACACCCTGTACACTCACCACACACACATTCTTGGCACACCCAGTGCCCTCACCACAAAGCCAATGCCTGCTGCCGCCTACTCACAAAATCCCCTCCATCTCCTCCCCGTCCGCCATCTCAGCGGCCTTGGAAGAACCACTGCCAGGGTGGGGGTAGTGAGGGTGGGATGGGTGGGTATAGGGCCTGGAGAGGGCCCTGGCTCAACAGGGTCTCCCTTCCTTTTCCCAGGAGCAGTCAGGGTTTCATGCACATGAAGCTGTCGCGGACCAAGGAACACAAGTACGTGCTGGGCCAGAACAGCCCGCCCTTCAGCAGCGTCCCTGAAATCGTGCACCACTACGCCAGCCGCAAGCTGCCCATCAAGGGTGCGGAGCACATGTCCCTGCTCTACCCCGTGGCCATCCGGACTCTGTAGGGGTGAGGCCCGGGCCTTGTGACAGATCTGGACCCAGCCCTGGGCGACCTCTCCAGCCTTTCTTCCCCTCTTCCAGTGGAAGCTGTGATATTCCTTAATTTATTCTAAAGGGGAAGGGCTACAGGGACCTTGGAGTTAAAGGTGGTCGAAAGCTGAGGATTGAAGACTCCCTGGGGAGAAAGGATAGCCCCTGGAGGAAGGAGACTTCAGAATTACTGATCTTCCGAGGGGTTTAAGATCGACAGCTCCAGACCCTTTCTTCCCCTAGAGCAGAGGTGGCGACCCCTTTCCCGCCATCCTCTTCCCCCTGGGGTGGAAGGGTGGATGCGGGATGGAGCTGGACGTGGGCCAACAAGGAGGCCTGGCCATCTCTCCGCCTCCATTCCCAAACCTCCGGCGGGAGTTCACCCAGAATCTGGTGCAGGGCCTCGGGTAGACCGACCCCTGGGGTGGAGACAGCATTGGGGGTGGGGAAGGGCTCGGCCGCCGGGAACTTGTGCAGGCCCCGGGCCGCCCCGGCTTTGGGCCAGAGGCAATAAATAAACTCCGTCCTGCCAGGCACAGCCGCGTCCGCGCCTCCAGCGCCGCCGCCGCCGCCCTCCGGGTGGACGGGGGAGGGAGCGGAGCGAGCACAGATTCTGTTTATAAATTAGCTCTGGAGCAGCAGGCGCGGGGCGTCTGTGAAAGGCAGTTTCGAAGCATCAAGTTCCTTCCTTTGACGAGACGTCAAAACATCCCCCGGGGCCCTCACCCCCGCCCCGGCTGGGAGGGGGGGCACCCGGATCCCGGCCGGCCGCGCGGCGCCCGCTCCCCGCCGCTGGGACGAGCGCGGCTCCCTGAGAGCGCGTCTAATTTCCTGCCAACAGCCATTTGTCTGGGAGGAGGGGAGCCGCGGAGAGACAAAGAGGCAGCGCGCCAGGCGGGAGGGAGCGGGGCGGCCCTGCCACGCGGAAGCCGCGCGCCGGCGGAGGCGGGAAGGCTGGCGCGGCCGACCGCGTTTCCTCTCCAGAGGAAGCGAGGGCCTGCCGCGCCTCACCCGGCCCCGGGTCGCTGGGTCGGGTCCCAAGACCTGCAGGCGGCCGGTCCCGGGCGGGATCTCCCTCGCGGCTGCGGCGCCCGGCGGGGTCGTCCGCGCGCGCCCCCTGCTGGCCGCGCCTCCACGAGCCGGGCCAAACCTCCCACGGCCCTGGCGGCCCAGCAGCAGCAACCCGCCCCAGGATACCACTAGGCCGCCAGGCGGAGCTGCTGTCAAGCCACTGCGGGCCCGCCCTCCCGCTCCCAAGGGCCAGCTGGGCAGAAACTCCTGAGGACGGGCTGAACTAACACCCTGGGGACGGCTGCCCTAAGGGGGCAGCCTGAGAACCGCCCCCCGCCCCACCCACCACCGACACCTGCAGCTCCCAAGTGTGGTGTGAAGCAGGTGAATTTGGATTTTCTAACTCAGTGGTTGAATTTATCAAAATTTATCAAAATCGAGGATCTGTGATCAGACAAATTCAAGAATTCTGCGGGGACAGTGGAAAGGATCACTTGAAATTGAGTCCTGCTTCAGAAATTTGCTCAGAGAGGTTGCCCTATCCTGAAGTAGACTTGGAGGGCATTCAGTTATTTTGCATATTAGAAAACAGGCCCAAAGACGTTAGGTGATGGGCGCGCGTCTCCTCACTGCCATCTCACTCCATAGGAGACTCATGTGGGCACAGGTGCTCAACCCTTCCACTGCTCAGAGAAGAGCTGGGAGTAACTGAGGTCTTGGAGCAAGTCAGGTGACCTCTCTGTAGGTGGCTCTCTGCAGATTGCTGCGGTGTCCTGCTACACTGCTTCCCACTCTGTGCCCAGCCCAGCTTCTCTAGAAGCCCCACGCCTCCACCTGTCCCTCCTGACCAGGCTCAGAAGCCCCACCCCACCTGCCCTGAGAGGCCTTCTGTCACGAAAGGTGCTGCTGATCAGTGAAAGGGGTCTCTAGCCGAGGCAGGTGGCCTTGGAGGGGTTCCCTTATTCAGTGGGTGCTGGCAAGCTCAGAGACAATGTCTGGGTGGCTCTTCTTCCAGTACCCACCGCATCCTGGAGCAGAATAAAGAAACCCTTAGGGCAGAAAAGTGGTTTATTTATAAAAGAGACTATTAGAACAGGAAGAGGGAGGAGAGTGGAGGAGCACCCAGACATGTTGGGCCAGGTTCTGACGACAGTACATGTTTAAAAACTTGGGGAGAAGATCAATTGTACTGTTGGAATGGGGTTCTGGGGGGGGGTTCCTGTAAATTGCTCTCTGTGGCTCTACCATCTCTAAGGCATTTGCCAGCCCTTTTGACAGTGGAGAGCTCAGAGGAGAGGAGATTTGAGGAGTGGGGAGGGGTTTTAGGATGCCAGAATCTATCTGTGCTCCCACTTCACCCCTAAGCTCACAGCCCCTGCACACACACACAATTTGTCTGCTCCAGCCTTTTGATTTTTTACCTTATTTTGGAAGAAGAGGTGTCACTTTGCTGCAAAACAATAATAGATCTCCTAGCTCCCAACTTTTAGTCCTTACACAGTGCCTTGCATTTCTCTAGGCTGAGACATTCTGGGCCTGGGAGTCCCTGAACCCACATGGGGTGACTGACCATGGCCACCTGGACCAAGGTTGGGAGGTAAAAATGGGGAGATGGCTGAGGAAGCCAGAAACAGGAAATCTAGAGGTGAGGTGTCAGGCCGAACCTCTGCTCATCTAGACAGTGGGCAGAGCCCCTGAGCAGGAAGCCTAGAAGTTCTCATAATGGTGGGAGAAATGAGTTCCGTCCTGCCTGTTGATGAGCTGACAAGCCTTTTCTACGTTCTTGGTCATGCCAGGGGGGCCGCAGCTGAACACCCCAATCTTCCGGACCTGTTGGAGAAAGAAGTGAAGGCCAGCTCAGTGTTTGGAGGGAGTTGTCTAGCTCAGTGTCCAACTCCAGGCTCGTGTGAGACACCAGCAGGAGTCCTTGGTGGGGATTCATTCCAGGATCCTGTGAAGGTTTACTCATACTGTTCATGATGAGGGCTGGTTCAGGGTTTATAAATCTCACTGAGTTTTGGAAGACTTGTTCTCCGTGGGGCCAGCCTTTACTCTTTTCCAAGGCATTTGCTAGCCTCAAGTGTAAGCCCAGTGTTTGTCTGGATAGTATTAATGGTAAGGGTAGCTCTGAGTTTATGGTGAGGACCAGCTCCACCACTGAGCCCTTCCTTCGGGACAAGGCATCACGGCTTCAGAAGTAGCAAGTCCCTGCTGCCTGCTTCCTGCCTTTGCCTCTGAGTGACCTGCACCTCTCTTTTTCCATTCCATCACCCCACCAGACTCCTCAGGGATCGGTCCTCCTCCCTTGATGAAGCAGGTTTGGGAACTTTGCTCAGACCTCAAATGATAAAGGTGAAGAAAACCTCAGTGTGGGGTGAGAACTGACCTGTGGATGGACCTTCTGCAGAGAGTTGAAGAATGCCTCGAAGGGGGGGCGGCCAAAGTGGGTGATGGAGCGCAAGCCTGTGAACAGACTCCGGTTCAGCACCTTCTGGAAGTGCCGCTCACAGATGTACTGGGGGAGGAAGCAGAGGAGAAAGGTCATGGCCAGCAGATTCAGGGTCAGCTCCTCGTCCAGAGGCTGGTCCGCCCACCCGCCTTGGCCATCCTGGCTTTCCCTGCCCACCCACACACCCACAAAGCCACTCCTTGGTTGGCCCTGACGCACCAGCATGGTGGTCCTGAGGTCGAACTTCTCAGCCAGCTGGGTGATGTAGATGTGCACAGACACCAGGTCCTGGCGGTCATTCTCCTCCACCTCTCGGATGATATCAGCCAGCCATTCAAACTGCCGCTGGGTCCGAGTCACCCAGATGAAGTAGATCTGGGGAAAGAGTGCTGGAGCTTGGGACCCAGCTCGTCTCAGAGTCCCTACCTCCCAGGAATCACCACTCCTTCTGGTCTCAGAGCAGCTTGTGCCTCTCCCCAGGCAGCCAGGGGGAGTCTCTGTGGCCATGCTCTGAGGGGGGAGACGGAGTTGCCCCAGGGCATGGAGAAGCAGAAGTGAACAATAGCCTGGGGCTGTGAGAAAGGACCCCGTCAAGTGAGCTGAAGGTCTGGTGGGGTGGGAGGCAGCCTTCCCTTCCACTCCATCCAGTGGGCCCTGTTCAGGCTGCTAGGTTCCCAGCCTACAGGCTGCCTGAGGGGAGGGGGACCCACTAAGAGGTGTGTCACAGAACGGCCTCTGGGAAGACTGCGTTGGCTGCCTGGAGTGGATGGGCCTGGGCTCAAAGAGAGACCAGGGGGGATTTCCCAGTGGCCCAGTGGCTAAGACTCCATGCTCCTAATATAGGGAGCCCAGGTTCAATCGCTGGTCAGGGAACTGGATCCCACATGCTGCAACTGAGTTCTCAAGCTGCAACTAAGACCTGGTGTAGCCAAATAAATAAATACTAAAATCAGAAAATATACCAGGGGCCTGGATGCTGTCCTGCGGGACCCATCTCCAGCTTCTGAAGGGGAGAAATGGGGTTGTGTGAGTTAAGGAGCAGACACAGAGCTGGCATAAACAGAGGAGCCAGGTAGCTGTCTGTCACCCTCTGAGTGCTGACAGCATACGGGCTGGGCCTCTGCCCGCTGCATTCTTGCACCCCTGACTCACCTGCCGGGCCCAGAGAGACAAGCAGGGGCCCGCCACCAGGGCTAGACTCAGGTGAAGGGGCCTGGTGTGGAGGGGCCTGAGGGCCTGGGCTGTGTTCCTGGAGCCGACCAGGCCCACCAGCCCTGCCTTGAAGCCTCTCCTCCTATTTCTCTTGAGAGCAGGGCCAGTTTCACCGGTGCCTCACCCCAAGTGTGCCCTTCCCTCTCCCAACCGGACACTGCTTGAGGGGCGGGCCCCCTCTCCAACCCTGGCTGGAGTGACTCTCAGAAGCAGATTCTATGTGGGGCACCCCATAACTGAGGGAAGAGCCTGCAGGCATCAGCAAAACCACTCTGTCCTTTAGGGTCCCGGAATAGCCTGACT